AGCTAACAGGTGAAGGTAAGGCATTGATTCTCCACGAACGCAAATGCAAGGCGCTAGTGATATGTAATATGTATGTGCCAGGTGTATTTTTAAATTAATATGTTTGACAGTGTTCCAATTTCTATCGGAATGCAATAATATACTTCCGAGGTCCCATATATTGTTAGATAATACAGTAAGTTGGTCGTAACTGGAAAATGACTACTGGCAATAAAAAAGTTTCAAAAACACTTAAACATTAACTTTCTTTGCGACTTGAACCTAAATGCTCTGACCTAATTCTTCGTATCTAAAACCGACTTTTATTCTTGGTTTTCTACAACAGTTATTTTTAATACTTTCGGCTTTCTTGCACGCACTGGTAGTACGCCAATGCATCACTGCACCCAAATAATGCTAAGAATAGTGACGATGGCGCCTTTTTACTGGGGAATGCCGTTTCATGTTGACAGGTTTATAGGATTTTATAAGGCTCATTCACTACTCCCCTTTTTAAATGGGGGATCAGCTGAAATAAAAATTGTTCACGCATTTAGTGCATTTCGACATAAAGGAAACGCATTCCGTTTGTTCACGTTTTTTATTATTATTTCGCACTCTCTTATATCTACTTAAAATGTATTTTCTTTCTGTTTTCACTTCATAATGCTTTAACCTGTCTGATAAAGAGGCTTGTTGTAAGCAAAAATATGAGATTTCGATAAGGGAAAATTTGCATACGGGTTGAGTTAAAATTGGCACTATTCGTTTGAAGGGTGTTTGGCGCTCAGTTGGGGAGCACAGAAAGTGAAATTAACATTCTTTTGAAATAGATTAACGATCAATTGATATACTTTTACCATCATTTTCGCTTAGTCACTTGTAATCAGCCAAAAAGGGAAATCTTTTTGTACTATTAAAATATTAACCATCAAGATCGTTTGGACTCACTTTCGTAAACCCTCTGTAATTAGTCAGAGAAAATCTTCTACTTCTGGTACTACAGTGGTGCTAGTGCCTAATTTAATAATTATTTTCTTGCAGATATATCGGTTTCATGTGATAATTTTTTTAAATGTATTTACATATTCTGTACTCGAGACGACTAAGAGTCTACGATCTGTCTAGGGAAATAGCCTCGATTCATAATTTCTTGTTTGCAATTGAAAAAATAAAATATTGTGAAATTGAGAACGACTTTACTATTCAATATTTCTTCATTTGAGAAATATTTGCTTACTTCTCTACCACTCTGCAGTATCATTTTTATTCCCAATCAAGTATTTATAAATGAAACTAATAAATATAAAATTCTTTTCCGATGCAATTGCGGAAAACTCCAGAAATATACGGATTTTCTTAGTTTTCCCTTCAGGAAAAAGTTCACTCTGAAATTTGAATTATGCTAAATATTATTTTAGATGGGTTATACGCAATGAACTCGTTTTATAAAAATAATCCGCAACGAAAGTGCACATGGCTCAGCCCTAATGAATTAAGGAAAAATGAAATCGATTACATACGAAGTACTGAAAAATATATAATTAAGGATGCAACTAACAGTCTTGAAAAGATTCACCACAGGCAGCGATCATAGGATGGTCAGAGCAAGGACATGTATTGAAAGCAATTTAGTAATGAAGAAAAAGCTTAATGGAAACAACTAGCTACTGGACATGACCAAACTTGCACAAAATAAGACGATATATAAAGAGAAACAAAACAAAACAACAACACAACTAACACAAAACCTGAACAGCGATAATGGAAATATAGATGAAATAAACGATACTCTAATAAAAACCATGATTAGAGTGGGAAAAGGAATAACAGAAAAGGAAAAAAGAAGGAAAATTGCATCACAGCAGAGACGAAGAAACTCATGGAGGAAAGGCGGTACATAAGTAAAGAAGGGAAAACCACGAAACAGAAATAGAAAGAGTTACAGAAAATAACAGGAATATTGGGTAGATATGAGGACCAACATTGGGTAGATATGAGATAAATAAAGACATGAACGGCGTAGAAACCAATATTAAAGAAGATATCATAAATACCGCACAACCATTTTATACAGAGCTATACCAAACAAAAAAGAAAACACCGGAAAATAAAAAAAAATCCAAAATAAAATGAAAATCGTAAACTCAGAACTACAATCCGAAATAAGCAGATCGGAAATAAAAAGGGCCCTGAAAAAATAAAAAATAACAGAGCACCTGGAAAAAAACGAATTTTTTGCTTTTTTTGCCTAGATTTGAGTTCAGCAGATTAAAATACATAACAAACATTGATTGCGCAAAAAGAATTATTTCACTTTAGATGAAGCTATGATTGGCTTTATAACAAAAACCGTAAAATACCGTATTTCTTCATGAATTTTGCAGCATGAGAAAATTATTTTTAGGTATATTTTCCCCTTATTCAACATTACGTCAAGTATACTCGCGCCAAATTTCTTCCACATCAGTTGGCCCAATCTTGAGACATTAGATTTACGAACAAGAAAAAAAAGTTACTTAATTAATTAAGTTAATACCATTAATAAGTTTCATTATAAAACCCACTTGTAATATTTAATATGTTTTTATTTTAGAGGAGATTAATTGAAAACAAACTTTCCACATTTTTTAAGGCATTTAAATCGATGAGAATGAAGAAACAGCTGTTAGAAAAACTTAATTTCAAAGACATATACTGCAATTGCTACCTACCTGCAATTGCTAACTACCTACTGAAAACACCTAACTTTTTAAGCTTTACAGTCATATTTGCTCCGCGAATTTTTGGCACATTTGTTTCTACAGGAAAATGATTTGATTAATAGGCCAATGTGCTAAATTAGTGAAAATAGCAGCTATTCGTGCCCACTTGTATGCCACGATAAGGTAAATAACTTGACGTACATGTTACGCCTTGTAATCCATGTGACCCAAATCCGAGCGTCAAATCTTAAACATTTTAAAATTAGCGTACATAATGAGTTGAGCTTTGTATATGTAAAGCTTTTCATTGAGTTTTTTTCGGGTTCTCTAAATAGGACTGTGTTTTTAACTTTTTTCTTTGAGTTAAACTTTTTTGCGGATTTTTGTCCAGTTCCAGCTTAACGAATTTTAACTGCAATTTTCGTCACCAAATCATTCACTGTCTGCTAATTGAAAATAATGCACTTATTTATTACTCAGTCTAGTTCAGAGTTCATCTAATTTGCCTAGTCACCCATCCAGAACACAAAACTAAATCATTTTCATTTGCTCGCCTGCCAAATCTTTACACACATTACTTCCAGTCTATGTTGCGTGGTTTTCTCAATGCATTCCATTTACTATATTTAAACCTGTACAATATTTTYTGTAACTGTTTTCATTTTCATAGAGCCAACTAGTTACAATGACTTAGCAAATAACTGATACTTTTGAGTATTTCTGCTCAAAAAATCAATCATGGAAAAATAAAATTTGGAGTTTTATGAGTACTTTAGGCATTTTTTCAACCGCTTTTGCAATTAGAGGTTTTGATTGTAGTTGTTTTAAAGTATTTAATGATCGTCTATGTGATATAATGTACTAATAATTTTTTTCATTGATTTCATTCACTATTCGCTACTTGATTATTTTGATGCTACTAGTATATCTACTTCTCTTGACTTTGTTATTATTATTCTCAATAAATTAACTAAGTTCCTATTTCTTATATTGATTTTTATTAAAAAATAATTGTACGTACTTTCCTGACTGTGTTTCAATTCAATTCCAAATTAAAATCAAATCCTGGGTTCTTCAGTCATTTATTGTCTATTTATCAATTAAAAAAACGTTTCGGTGTTTTCCACCAT